CTGCTGCTGCTGCTGCTGCTGCTGCTGCTGCTGCTGCTGCTCCTGCTGCTCCTGCTCCTGCTGCTGCTGCTGCTGCTGCGGTCGCTGCTACCGCTGCTGCCGCTGCTGCTTCCATCAAAGTCGCCTCCTCCCGAAGGAGGCGACAGGGGGACGCCCGAACCAGCGTCCCCGGTCCCGTTGCCGGGTGCCGCCGGCGCCTTCTCTTGCACCGGCAGCGTCGCTCGCCCAGCCTCCGTCACGTCGAGGTCGGAATCAGACTCACTCTCCGAGTCTTTCACCCCCCCCGCACCTTGACGGGACGTGCTCTGCTTGCTCTCGTCCTCCCCGCCCTCCTCGTCGTCTGCGAGAGGCAGCAGCTGCGGGGAAGCGGGCGAAGCGGCGGGCACGTGACGCCAGGTGAAATTTCGGGACGTGACCACGGTACCAGCTTCGGTTAACAAGCGGATGCAGTCACGGGGGTGATTGTGGGCAGGCCCAAGGTACCATCCTTTCGCGCCCTTGGGTTGCGACTTTGCCTTTCTTCTCGATTTGAACACGAGAGGTTTGAGGAACGGGTGTGTAGACCCGACCGGCGGCGGCGTACCGTGGAACAGCTCGTACGGTGATTTGTGTCCAGGGTTGCCGGTAGTGGCGGTGCAGTTCATCTGGTGGCACGCACAAGAAATGGCCTCGGCCCACAAGCCGGGGCTGACTGGTGCGTCGGGGAACATCTCTTTCGCTTGGATGCGGGAGGCAAGCGCAGAATCAGCAAGCAACCCCACCGCTCGTTCCGCTACACCGTTGTACTTGGGGGTGTTGGGGGGCGTGAATTCTTGCTTGATGCCGTATCTACGGCAGACCTCCGCAAACTGGCCCTGGAATTCTCCGCCGCCGTCAGTACGTGCGACAAACACCTCACACGGGACGGTTTCTGCTCTGTCGTCCGCCAGATATCGCTCGAACGCGGCAGCGGCGTCAGACTTGTGCTTCAGAAAGAAAACACGTGTCCAGCGGGTGCAATCATCTCGGATGATGAGGGTGTACCAGTTGCCACCAATGCTTTTGAACTGCATCCTCCCCCCCAAATCGAGAAAGAGGCGGAACAATTTCTTAGCTGCGCGTGTGTCCGTGCTCTTTGAAATGGGCTTCACCTGCCCCTTGGACATCGAACAGCCGAGGCATGGTAGCAGCGGTCCTCCCGTCAGCTGCACTCCTTGCTGTTTCGCCGTTTTCTGGAGCAGTTCCTCGTGCGTGTGGCCGTGCGAATTGTGGTAGTAGTTGAGGTCAGTGGGGGTGGCTGCTTTCGCATCGCCAGGAACAATTGTTGCGGCACAGGCGATGTCTACCTTCGGCTCGATTTGATAGCCTTCTTGAGTTACTAGCTTACCCGTCCGGGGGAACCACACCTTCCCCCCGGCTCTCGTAGTGAGAGTCAGCCCCCCCTTCTGGCCGGAATACGTGTGGCCTTCCTCGGCCAACGCCGACAGTGAGAGAAGGTTGTGGGGGGACTCGGGCACATGAGCGGCGTTCAGGATTAGCACTGGTACCCTACCGCCTTCGGTCAGAAAGACTACGGTCACGTCTCCGTACCCTAGGAGAGGAACGGGGGCCTTGTTGCCTCCGATCCCCTTGACCCAACCACTACACTCGCGGTAGTTCACGAACGCGTTTGCGCATCGGAACATGGAGCACGTGGCTGCTGTACCAGCCACGTACACCATGACATCCTGGCCTAGTTCCGTTACCCCCACTAGACCTAGGTCAACAGCACCACACTCGCCTGGCAGGCCCGGCGCCGCGCAGAAGGCCTGGTTGTCGACGGAGTCGGCGTCGCTGTCGGCATGGACGATCTGCGCCAGGACGGCCTCCTCCGTCGCGCACTTGTCCTTGCTGTGACCCCATCCTGCGCAGTGTGAGCACTGCGGGAGGTAGTCGCTCTCCTTGGTGGTGCAGTCCTGCTGCGTGTGTCCGAAACGGCCACACGTGAAGCACCGGCCCGGGAACTTCTTGTCCCCGGTACCGCCGCCATCTGCCCCACCAGAGCCACTCCCCTTGCTCTCCTCGACGCCGCCACCGCCTTTTCCGCTGCTGTCGCCGCCCCCGCGGCCGCCGCTGCGGCCACCGCCACGACCACGCCAGGACGACCGCCCTCGGCGGCCGCCCCCACGCCACGACGACCGCCCACGGCGGCCGCCTCCATCGGCGAGGTAGGCCTGCTCGGCGCCGCGCGCGCCCTTGCCTTTCCCCGCCTTCACCTTCTCCATGATCGATCGATATTCGATGGTGACCTCCTTCAGGACGTCACTCCTTGTCAACCTCTCCTTGTGTCTGAGGGCGTGCTTGGTCATAGCGTACTCGTTGGAGAGGGCATCCAAGAAGAGGTGCAAAACGAAGGTTTCGTTAACATCAAGCCCCCGTTTCGAAAGGGACTCTGCGGTGGCGAGCATACTGTTGAGAGCATGTTGCGGATTCTCTGCCATCGGGATCTTCTTGGATGTCAGGGATTTTAACTCATCCGCAGGCTGCATGGACGATTCTGGGTCGTACAACCCCTTCAGCTCACGGAGCGCCCCCAGGGGCGACTCAGCTCGCTTCATTATTGTCCTGTCTTTCTCGTCCTTGAGAGCTCCACGGAGGAAATTCCACGCGTGGAAAGCGAGCTCTACTTTGTCGTGCGGGTAAAACCTGGACAGTTGGACTTTGCTCTGCCCACTGTTTACGGGGATCTCCGCCCCCCCCTCCTCGAAAAGCTCAAGAAGGTTTGCTGTGTTCGTTGCCATCAAAAAATACTCTAGCCACGAAGAAAAGCTCTTGGCGTCTCCGCTGAACGTGGGCGCTGTGTACTTCACGCTTTGGTATCCCACGCTCGCACTACCGAAGACAGCAGCACCACTTCCCATGGCGCTGCGGAAACAAGCTTGATTGTGAGCAGCGGCTACTCTCACCTCTTGGGGGTCTGAACCCCCTACTTCGCCGCTGTGTCGTCCCGAAGGACCAGACTCTCTTCGCAGGTCCGCTGCCTGCGCGCTCCCGTCGTACTGCACGGTCCCAAAATGACCTGCAGTGCTTGTGGCGACGCTCTCCACGGCGCCGCCGCTTTCAGCGGCGCCCTCCGTGGCACCGCCGGACTTCTCCTCTATACGTGCAGCAAGTCCTCCGACCAGCTGCACCAGCTGGCCCATTTGCTGTGTCAGCGAACTGATCTCAGACCGCATGCTGTCGATCTGCTCGCTGCTATTTGTGTCTCCTGCCTGCGAGCCGTCCGGAGTGGTCCCTCCGGTTCTGCGGCCCGCCATCCCTAATGGACTCCCTCGAGGGAATAAATACTAGTGTGTTGGTATGTCCGTACTTGGGAGGAGAAGACACGCTTTAACTCTCTCTGATTAGGCACCCGCGGGAGCGAGGAAAGGTAGGGAAGAAGTGGCCCTCCCGAATTCGGGGAAGGGGGGCCCACACATAGTAGCCTTTTTCAGGCATACGCATGCTCCTGTCTACGTAGCCCCCCCGTGCTTCTAGCAGATCTACCATGCTCGTATCCAGACACACGAACAAGGAAAACTGTTACAACGTAGTCAGGCACAGTTTACCCTAGGTGCGACTGCGGCAACTAGCCTTCTGTAGACAGAATACAGAAAGAAGAGATGGTACTTAGCAGAGAACATGAGCACAGAGTTGTAGCGTATATAATTTGGCAGGCGAGACTGAAGTCGTTTTATTGTTCCGAACCCCGAAATTCCGGTACTCGGGCCAATACCCCGGAGACCCTCGGAACCTGCTGTGTTTGCTGCTTGTTTTTAATTTGTTGTTGAGCTGAGACACAAGCGCGCCTTCGCTCCTTGTGCTCACTCTCATAGAGCACCCATCAAAGCCTGACCAGGGAGTCAGTTGGTAAGAACATCTATTTTATCTACATTTCTATTTCCGAAGCTCGCTCGGGTCTACCGCTCTCACAGCAGTGTAACTAACCTCTGTGATAGACTACAAAGTCTACGAGCTACAGCAGCACCGCCACCTCCGCTGCTGCAG